TCAGGTACGCTCCGCGCCAACCGATGGTGGCGCTCCGCTTAGATAGTCCTGCCGGCACTAAAACCATCCTAGGCAGAACCCTGGCTGTGATGTGGGAAATGACTTTTTTTATTGCAATTATGAGGCAAAACTTATTATTGACATACTCTTATCAACAAGACCGATATGCATTTATTACTAAAATCTTAAAATGCATTGGCGACTGTAATGTTAAGTGGAGTTTAAACTAAACACGTTGCCTACTTTTGCCAACTCCAAGAAAAATTTCAATCTCACAGATTTTGCTGTTTGTGTTGGTCTTTGCACTGTTGATCCTGTTCACTGATGTATGATGTCAGTCCTTCCAACACCAGTTTCTTATGGCCCTGTATATAAAATGATGATGATAGGGAGAATAGTTTGAAATCAATTTCAGTGATACGTCAAGGTCAAATTACACAGCTCCGGTGTAACAGGGGACACAAAATGTCACACTTTTGAACCCTGAATTTATACAATGACCCAATTCCTAGCCACTCAAGTCATACTTTGTTCCTAAAAAGTGTGTCATACTGGTGGTGGTATGTGAAGAGCAGGCTACTCATTAGTATAGACTGTGATTGTTGTCTTGGTTACTTATACATGTTTATTCAGTGAACGTAGTACAGGTAGTTGAGAGATTTCTCTATCACTGAAGCCTCCACTCAAATCTCCATCTTCATGCATTGTTAACATTTCGAAATTTGAAATGTCTTTGCAGCCAACAACACTGCAAACCATTCTGGAGATGTGTTTCAGGAACAGCATGTGTTTGCTGACAGTACCGGTACATTTTTGTTGATAAAGTTACGAACTATGATTTGCTAAATTTGGTTACCTGACGATATGAAAATCATTATTTTTAAATCTTATTATTCTTGAGAGAATGTTATTCCTCCCACCATGTTTTGATGTAAAAAGAGTACAGCAGCACATAGAAGAAAACTCTTAATCAAGAGAATGTTTTTTTGCCTTGGCAAGCTGCATTTTTCTGAAGCTCAATTATGAGGCACATTGAGCAGACTACTTGTACAGTACCGTATATGTACATGTAACTTTTGAGAGCTGTAGAGGTTCCAACATGCCGCTGTACCAACCAAACCAAAGACTAACTTTGCAACAGTGCTTATCTTACATCATCCAGCGAACTGATGTACTTGACGAAGCATGCATTTATACTTGTCATATCCATCCCATTATCCTGCAAATGCAACTGTGTATGTTACTGAAGGAGTACGCGTGTTTGTATGCCACTTTTGTTATTTCTGTCCACAGGAGAATAAGGAAATGAAGCTTATAGGTTAGTTCCAAATTAATGAAAATAAATTTATGCTTCAAAATGTACAATGTACATGTACCTTGGTTGATAAGAGAAGAAGCTGGTAAACCAGTGGTGGTAGTTCCTGCAAGTCAACATCCTTACACAGCCTCAGAATCTTTGTGATGACAGATTTCAGCTGATCACTGCTTAGAACAACATCCCTGTAACAGCAAACAAAGCATTCATCAGCTGGTGTTCAGACTACAATCAAATCACATCTACTTTTTTGCTTTCTGATCAAGAATATCTCAGTCCAATCAAGTCTTGCTGTGACTAGACGATACTGATTTGTAGGCTGCATACTTTGACTTGGTAGAATACCCTGATGATGAACACCCTTGAAAGGGATAACTGCTCCCAAACTTTGTTTACTGCAGAGATATACCGAGAGAGCATACGTGTACTCCCCTTGTACGGCCCTGCATTAGATGTGGCAGTCTTGGAAGTGCCAAATATAGCTGAGGTATGGGTGCTACCATGTTGGATGTCTGTTGTTCCGTCACATTTAGATTCGCGCTCAACAGGAAATTCCATTGTTGAGCAAGGAAGAAAGACAGTCCTGCTTGATGATGAGAGACAACCCAAGGCATGGTATGTACAGGCAAAATTTTCTGCAACCTGTTGAGCCTGTGTGCGTGCAGCACGTTCCAAGATGGAGGAAGAGGAAAAGACCCTCCTGTGTCAGCGATGGAAATTGGGCAAGGCGGTCCTCTTTCCAACTCTCCGGCCGGAGGCTCACCAGCCTGAGATGGGCTGGGGCCTGTGATTTAAGCACTCATTCAATCAGAGGCGAGGTTGACAAGGCCGAAGCCATACATGTACATGTAGGTTTCAAAGGACCAGCAGGCATATCTTTACCCTTCTCAGTTGACATATTGACAAACCAACAGCGAGAAAAACCATCAGAAATAGCAAAGATGAGGCAAAACACATGGAAACGAAGCTGAAGAATGAATGTACAGGTACTGAGTGCCAAACTGTATTACAAGAAACAAAAGACACACTTTGATGCTTCCTTGGGTGGTTATACACTGTATGCTAAGGCCCATTTGCATATTATGCCTTAAAAATCTGCCATTTCTTCAAAGGGTGGTGCAAACCGCATCACTAGGGACAATAATAAAAAGTGAGTCTTGACGAGGACAAATGTTATTCATGTTGTATAACATCTAGTACTCTACATGTATCTTGAAAGTCTTCCAATATAAATGCAAATACACAATTTCCAAGAAGTACACATTTGTAAACATTATCAAGCCCCCATTTTATGTTTTCCTTACTACATTAGTGTTACAAGAGCAGCATTACCTTCCAGATTGCTCACCATGGCCTAGCAGTGCTGACTTCACTTTTTTACGCATGAACCTGTAATTTACTAGCTAACACAATATCAGGTGATTAAACTCTGTAGCACTAAGGTACATGTTACTTGTAAGCTACGTAATTCAAAAACAGCAATGCATCTGTAATCTGATTTATGTGTTTTAAAAAATTAACAACTACCGGTAGCCGTTTTTAGTGAAACTTTGAGCAGAAAATGTCGTCAATTTTTAAAACTGAAAAAATGTTTTATTTCAATACATGTATATTTATATTTCAATATTGTTAAAAAAATCGGGATTTTGATTTTCTGTTAGAAAACACAAGAAAATAAAACTCCATAGTCCAAACACACACGTGTACATGTAATTGCATGCATGCTTTTTATTACTAATGCTCCCATCAATACTGCTGGCAAGAACTGAAACTAACCTGAACATTGAAGCAAGATGTATGACACAATGTGGATCCCATCTACTGGAAGTCAGAGTGGTTATCACACTATTCTTATATTCCACTCCTGACATCTTATTGTTTCCATAGGTTATGGTTTCCTTTGCAGCAAGTGATGACAGGATTTTGGGCAGTAGTTCAAATGCCCTACAAGGAGTTAAAAACATACGGAGCACATGAACATGTACATTCTCATGAAAAATCATTAAACAACAGAGGGATGTACTGAATGATGGTAGTCTGGTTCCAAGACCTCATAATTCAACCGACGTACAAATTGTGGGTGTGGTAGCCACTATTGACAAATATGGAGCATGATGCAATATAAGATTCCTTACATAATGTTTCGAATGCAGGGTGCACATGTTTTTTTTTTTAAATAACAATTTCAAAATATATAAAACCAGCAGTAACAATCAAAAACAAATTCAGAGAACTTGAAAGAAGTTGTCAGAAACATGCATACCATGTCAGGAAGTCTGTGAAGAAAGGCGCTCAGTACTTATATTGTATACATTTCCAAATATTAACGACATTATCTAAAAATCGGCAAACACAGCTTCCAGAAACTTTGGTCAGTTTAGAATTATTTTAAACAGGAAGAATTCTCCCATTCTTGTTACATGGTCATGGCGGCAGACAGACCTCAGATATCTCTTGGGGTACATACAGTCCATATCATTTGGTCTGGGAACCAGGCTAAGGATGCTGGGAGAAAAAGGGAAAGGTGGAAGACTGGAAAAGGAGAAAATAACATTTGGCAACAAAATTTTGGCTTCAATCTTTTTACATGCACATGTATGTGATGTGTGAGTTATTGTACGATATTAACTGTGTAGCTTCACCTTTTATGGACTTACTTTCCAGAAGTTGGATCCCTTGATCTAACAGCATCGGTAAATGTACCAGCCAGCTCAGCCAAGTGACTGGTTGGGAGATTATCTGTCTGTTGGGAAAAAGATTGAGTATATAAAAGCATATTTTGCACTCAAACCAACTGATAGATGAAGTTTTTATTTCGGCATCATCGTATCACTTCATGATAGGATTAAAATCTTTTTAACACAATATAAAATTGTATGCTAGTATGTACATATACATTTGCATTTAGGGTATCCAGACAATTCTTCACAACTTTCCAAGGTGGAACTGATGAGTGAAAACCTGCTCATACGTCATGTTTGTAAACGATGAACAAGGCCTAAGATATTGCCAAGGTCACCTGCAAAGTGCTAGTGCACAGGTACATTTATGTTCCAAAAAAGAACAAAACCAGGCAGTAAAGTTTTCAATTTCTAAATTGTGCCGATATTCCTGCTTGTAGTCCTTGACCTAGTCCCCTTTTTATCTACTTCTCTCAATGTCTGACTGCATAATGGTACCATTTTGTTCACAAATAACCACTGTGCCCAAGCGTAAACAGTAGGGATGAATCCTTTTTGGCAGTCTGTTTCTCTGCAATGCCAACTTACTTTCACATTCCAGGACCAGAAGTTACCTACAGTACATGTGCATGTATATGTACAGTCCTGACCCTTAGGTTTAGGTACAAGATACTGGTGCATGTACATGTATGATACTAAACATTGCTCATCTTTGTATTTTTACAATTTCAAAAGTACGTTCTAGAAATTCTGTATTTTACATTGTAATCTCCAATTGTAAAGTTTTCTTTTAACGAAGCAGTTACGCCAGTTACTGATCATGTATTGTTTTACTTCAAATGTGATTGATGAAGTTTTGGGTGATTCAATGGGTAATCATGGTAATGTGTTCATTAAGGGAAAGAAAACCTGCCATGCCTGTTTCCCACCTTAACACCACAGATATTGTTTGCCTACTACAAATGCCCTGTCATTCATAGATTTTACACAAGATAAACTACAAGATCTTTGATTTAATCACTGAAAATGCCGCACTGTTTTTCTCGATTTTTCACAAAGCAGTTGACTCAATCATGAAACAAGTCAGTGGAATGTAAGTTGCAGTGAATATTATACACTATGATCAGCCAATCTTATGAAATTATGACAAAACACCAATGGTACAGTGCCTTTAAGTATTATGTGATCTAAAAAAAGCCTTCATGTGGTGAAATTTGTCATTTTTATATCATATTAATCAACTTGGTGAGAGCACTGAGCAATTTCAAATCTGTTTAATTCATCATTTTAGGTTGTCTATAACTCAAGTTACTGTATATTCATGGGAAGTTATAAAAACCAGTCAGAGAAATGAAGCTTTCAAATTCCACGTAAAGACTTTCATTGAGATTACAACAAAACTGACTGACTGAAAGATTGGAAACTGACTTTGTAATTGCCTCAAATAAGAATTATTTGTACATGTATATCAACGACTGAAAAGGCCACAAGTAATGTTAATATTCTGTGTTTTACTGGCTAAAACTGAGGGCAAGTTTCTCATACATGTAGATGTACAGTATATGGGATACTCAGTTAGTGCAAATAGTCCATAGACCCTTCGTGTTATGCTTTAAGTGAGGTCAGCTACATGTACCATTTCCACTGGTCAAAGCCTGAATACATGAACTTAAAGAATGTAAAATAATACCTCCATCAGCAGAATCCCAACAATTTCTGATGCTACTCTTTTGGTTAAATCTTCCTTCTGCAGTAAACTGATAGCCGTGTTATAAACATTCAGCCTTCTCCTTACAGCCGTCTGTTCATTGGTAGGTGAAGCCTGGAAGATAGCACGTACTAAATCTGCAACATTCCCTTGGTCCTGCCTGGATGCATACAAATGTAGCATCTCAGATATCTATCCAAAAGATAAAAGAATATGAATTTAAAAAAATCTCAGGTTAGAATGATTTGATGGCATTATATTTGTACAAGGTTCCAAAGTATTGCTCTTGCTATTTTGCTAAAATAATGCTACATAACTCCTTACAGGCACTAAGGAAAAAAAAGGAAAATTCCACATTCATAGCTGCCTGCCAATATGTTCTATACATGAGTACATGTACATGAACTAATCAATTTCAAAATTTGCTGTTATACTCAACCCACAATGATAGCAAAACACTCCAACATATCGATCAGCATCTGTTTTTTAATTGCACATTGTACATGTACTTGATACAGCTTTGGCCTTGTGTACCCTCTTTACTTAAATTTTGCACCAACACATTATAAACACCATGTACATGGTGTGAGATAGTATACCATACCCCACAGTGACCTGCATGCATACTCTTGTGAAGCTTAAATTGCTTGACGCAAATGGAAATTTATGCACAGTAAACTTGACTTTCTAACTACATGTACACTGTACATGTATCGGAACATACAATACAGTGAGCTGCCACAATGATGACAGTTTCTGTGTGGGAGGGGATCAAACATGTCAAATACATGTACCCGTACATGAATGGTGCTTTCCTGATAAAATCTGTACATATATGAAATTTCATGAGCGGCAAACTACAGTATACCAACACTGTTAAGTATGGGATATTATTGAGATTTACGAGCCACAGCTACATGTACATGTATATCTATACAACCCTGTAGTCATTTTGGCACATTTGTGAATGATGATCTTAGTCAAACTCATCAACTTGTCTTCATTACTGCATGAAAATTCTCTTAACATTGGAACTTCCTGGAACTTACATTTCCACTTTTACTTTTATGAACATGCAACAAAATGTACCAGTTAATGAATTAATGAAAATGACATGATCAAACCATTCATGCAGGAGAAACTTTCCTGTACGGTAATGCCTGTTATTAATTCTGAACTGCACTCGCCGCTCTACTTGTCATACTTGTACATGTGCTCGTACACAAGTAAGTTTTTTGGATACTCATGGAAATGTACTTGTACCCACAAGAAAAATTTCCATACCCATGTTCCTACTCATGTACATGTAATAGTACTCATGGAATATGTACATGGAACACGTACTTGACTACAGCATTGATTGGAACTAACAATCACACTGTGCGCCTTTTCTATAGAGTACCAAAGTAAATATGCCATGCGCACAATCATGTAAGAACCAGCACATCAACCAACAGGCATGCATATTCCAATTGTTTGCACTACACTTCCTTGTTCAAATGGCGTCACACTTTGGTACTCTACATTGATTTGATTGATCACAATTTTACTTGTTTGCTGAATCATTCACCCATGAAAGCATGGGTACCATTAGATTGAATAGAACTTCATTTCATTTCCCTGGTTCCCGCCCCCCACTCCTCACATATTTCATTCATGATAAGAGGAAAATAATGTAGGGACGGGAACCAGTCTACAAGTACCATTACACAAAACTACTGGTACCTTTGTGTGGTGCTTCAGACATGAATCTGTTTCACAAAATAGCAGATGTAATATGTGAGGACTTGTAATTTTTTCTCCAAGCAGAAGAGGATTTGCAAGTATTGTATGTATATACATGTAAAACCAGTAATGAATGTTTCACATTCATGCAGCGGCAGGAATAGTTTGGCCCAGTGGAACAGAATACATTTCATCTGACACTTCATAAAATTATTCTTACCTTTGAACTCATTAAACGCTCATTATTTGTCTTCAATAACATTCATTACACTTTATGTGAGTACAAATAACATGTGAAAATGAATACCACAGTCAAACTACACGTACATATATTGACTAGTCTGTACTCTGTACGTACATGTAAATGAGTTTGTTGAAACTTTAAATAGTAAACACATTTTGTTCTGACAATTACAGCAAAACCATATAAAAAAATTGTTCTGACGAGTTAGTCAGACATGTACCGAGTTCACGTGAGACCGCACTCAGTATGCATGCCATAAGAATAAAAACAAGAGTTCCATGTACACATGTAACATACATATACTATAAACAGGTTATATGGCTTTTGGGACTTTAACTTTTTTATTTAGTTTGGCCGTTTTATCTACATTTAGTCTGACAAACACCGGTTGGAAAATGTCTGTTCTCTAACCATAATTTCATGCTCTGTTGGATTTTAAATATTTTCCAGAAATCTCTTCATTGGCATTTTACTGTTCTTAACAAACAAGCTGAGTTTGAACTTATGAAAAGTGACCTACATGTACTCATATACTCAAGTGAAAGAAATTCCATGTACATTGTACATGAACAGGTGTACCTGTACTATGGTGAAGCACTTGCACTGGTGTAAGAGTACATGTTCTCAGGCAAACATACTCCACTAGAATGCAATGCAATACAAAATATCACCTCTTCATTTGTTGTGTTCTGTAAGCACCTCATCACCTGTTGCTTGTCTCCCTTTGCAATGGCATCTAGTATGTTCTGGCCAAGACTCATCATGCATCTTATGATCTCACAATCCTGAGGAGAAACCAGATTTACAACGGTCAATTGTCTTTGATGTGATGATTCTGTACATTTATTTCGATGTCATGTACTCAATCACGTCAATACAAGTTACAGAATAAGGAAATTGACGACATTAGGTTCTTCATCAACAGCAATGAATTTCACCATAATTAAGTCCCTACGACATGTGATGGTGATTAAGGAACATTTGGTACATGTACTGAGTGAAACAAAATGCTTTTGTTTCCAAAACCTTTAGAGGGAATACAGACAATTTTACAGAGGGACAGAACAAAAAGCAACATAACATACTACATGTAAAAGTAATTAACACAAATTGTTTACAAATTATGATACAATCTTGTGATTAATTCATTGATAGGTAAGCAACAACAAAACTAAACCAAAACAAAACAACAAATCAAGGACAAAGGAAAACAACAGACCAACAGACAAGCAGGAGTATCATTAGCTCACTGTTGTGTGTAAATAAAGTTTCAAAATAATACATAGAAAGCAAGAAGTTGTGCTTTCAATTTTGAGATACATGTACATGTATGGAGAGCATCTGGGATGTTTTAAGAGGAATACTTGAATTATTGCAGAAATTGGTACCATGTTAAATCAAACTGACATTGAACACTAGTATACTGCTAAAGCCCACATGAAGATTTTTCTTTGTGATATTTCTTGTATTACAACATCAGATGCAAGAACCCAGTACTGTGTTAAAGCATGACGGTAACTGGCCATTCATAAATTTATACATGAATTTACCAAGGCTAAGATAAGTTTTGTAACACTTAAACATTTGCATTAATAAGGGCAAAGTATGATCTCGACAACTAGCACTGGAAAATATTTGGATCACTCGCTTCTGTAGAATAAGTTTAGTTTGTCACACAATGAGGATCCACCCCAGGTGATGAAGGTATAATTTAAGTGTGGCAGAACAAGAGAATTGTAGAGTTAATAAGATGTGTTTACATGTAGTACCTGTACAAAAAACTGTAAGCGGCTCATTACACTGATAGTTTAGATATTTTACGTACCACAACATCAACGTGTGGTTCTTTCACATTAAGTTCAAATTGAGAATAATGCCTGGGAATTTAGTGTTGCTTATTTTTTGAAGATTATTGCCTTCAGAGACTAAGGATACCAATTCAGGATACAAGTTTCTTTTGTCTCGAAGAAAATAAAACATACTTTGATTTGCATATATCAATACATAATTTGTTTGCTTGTATCCAAATCTTCACATGTTCATCATTATGAATACTAATAGCTGTGTCTACATTAAATTAGGCTCGTATCATCTGCAAATAAAACAAAGGATATTAGGTTGCATGTATTGGTATTACAAATATCATTTACCGGTATATAAATAAGGAATAAACGAGGACCTAAGGCATAACCTTGAGGAACCCCTCAAGAAATTGGTTGATGTTCTGACTTGGTTGCATTGAACAATACAAATTGTTTCCTGACAGACAAATAACTTTGAAACCAATCTAAAGTTATAAATTCATTGGTCTAGAACAGTCACTGGCCAAAAGTCAGTTTTTTGTACATGTCCATGGCCAGTGAAATGGTTTTACAAGACAAATTCAGCGACTAAACCTAAAATAACTAAGGTAGAAAGGAAGGCTTTTCTGCCTTTTTAAAAAGCATTTTTAAGACTTCTTGCTGGTTACTGTAACGACAAACATATAAATGTCAACAGTAGTCAAAATTTAAACATTAACAGTTAATGTAAATAACTGCAGACATGTACATGTAATTGCTACGTTATCCTGGTAGCTCCGAAGTTTTAACTAAACTTAACTTGGAATAGTAGCAAAATTGCCTTTGAAATAAAGTAACAGAATAAAAAAATCAACCAATGACATCATCATGATGGTATTTCAGATTTGCAATGCAGATTATATGCATACTTACAGTAATTGGACATGTACAATGTAGATCAGAAGATAATGGCCTTCAAACAAAAAAAATGACCATTAACAGTCTTTCACTTTACTTGTGAAACTGTAAATTTATGACATTTATGAAGAGAAAAACAGTGTGAAGAATGCACTGTTTACCCCTAAGGATCATGGTGGCACTCTTTGGCATACATTTCTTACCATCTTGGAAGTAAATGTCTCCCTTACTGTCCAGGATTATGCAGGGAGACTGTCCATGCTCACAGTGGCTAAATACATCATATAAAGGGTTCTTCTTTGGATACATTACATGTATGTCCACGTAAGGCCAAGTCACACAATCATAACATTACTTGACATGCTTAGTTTTCAAATAACATTTACTCTAAGACAAACATCTGACGAACAGACTTTCTATTCACAGAATTTAACATAGGGAAAATACACACAAAGTCAAAGGAGGTAGGGTAAAAAATTAAAAATCTATATAACATCACTTGATGTCATTATGATGTCAGTGACATTGTCACCGTAATAGATACTTTCAATCTCAAGGACTTTATAATTGTAAATTTATTTATTTTTTGGTCAACTTAAACTTACATGTATGTAGGTGGTACCAACCAAACATAAAAATTAATCTTGGAACAGCACGAAAATTACTGGTGTTAGAAAATAATACATGAAGGTAGTCCATTTGTTTTACGGGTATTTTTGGAACGGGGTACCTGTTTTTGTCAAAGACTGAGTACCTGGGTACCAGTGTTGTATTCAAAACCATCACAAGTCCTTGCAAATCCCGGCAAGTCCATTACAAGTCAGTCTTAAGCCAATTCACAAGCTATTCAAATGAGCTGTGACAAAAGCATTCTTTTGTTATTGTTCACCCTGTTACTTATGGCTGGCCTTGTGACTGGACTTTTGACTGGACTTGTGATGGAGTCAGATACATGTACAACACAGCTGGGTGCACGTACATGTACAATGTACCTGCAATTAACAATAAATAAATGCCCAACCCATCAGTAACACCATAGTCGCTGTATTTTTCCCCAAGCTGAGCAATATAAACTGATCTGCCACAATACCCAAATGCTGGTAAACTTGGAGTGAAATTCAATTTTAATTGGTACGCACCTTTGGGGTAATTGTTGTTAGCTTTAGGTTAATATTATAAGTTTCATTGGCTGATAGTAGTTTCATTAGCGATAGACAGAAGATATGGAAGGGACATACTAAACTATGAACCCCAAACACTGTGGGCGGTACCAACCAAACTTCATTTACTGCAGGAGTACGCTTCCAAAATGTACATACATGACAGCAGTTCTACAAATCGTACTAGGGTATATCTCATGTACAGAAGTCCTATTAACTTGGGCCTACCAACCTGCCGGCCAGTTCAGCATTCATCAGGCCCGTAGCATAGGCTGGGGGGTAGGGGGTTGGAATGAAAAAAAGAAACCCCAGTTGGTGGTGTTTTGTTTTTTGGTTTTGTTTCTAATAAATATAAATTTTTAATAGAATTATGTTCACGTACCTATGATGTAGTGTTCCAAGGCACATTAATGTTAGGCCTTGTAATAATACATGTATGTGTTCACACAGTGCCAAAGTTCCACTTTTGGGTTAGCAGGTTTGGCCTAACCCTAGCCCAAGTTGGATGTTGTCTTCATTTACACTACGACTGACGTCCACGGTATAAAGTCCTCCTGCCTTAAAATTTTTTTTCAATTTTTTTTCATATTTTTACCTGGCGGAGGCAGCTCAAATGTCATTCATACGTGATATGTATCCTGATTTCCATAAATGCTGTTTTGAAATTACTATATGCCCACGGAAAACGTAATTTCGCAAGAAATTTTGCGAAACTCTACACTTTCCGTCATGAATCGTGAATGATCTATGTTCATCTAGTAGTACGCATTTGTGCTTGCATGAAATGGCCTCCAAGCTCGGACCCCATTCTGTCAGTTATGTTGTCTAGAGCTAGGTTTAGGTCTTCGCTCCATTGGAAATGCATGGAGATGGCAGACAAGAGCCCAGCTGTAGGCATAGCTTTTTGCACATTTGCAAGTACGCGAACTAGATGGACGTAGATTGCTCACAACAGAAAGCATGGAGTTGCACTAAATTTCCGCGGGCGTATTTAACAATTTCAACACAGCATTCATTATTACAAATACAAGGCACTTGTGACCGACATTTGAGCTGTTCTCACCAGGTAAAAATGTGAGAAAAAGGCCTAAGCACGCCTACCCTGAACGTTAATCACAATGCAATGTAGCCTACATTGGCTAGACGATGTCCAACCCAGGCTAGCCTATCCCCCCATCCCCAGCTACTCCCAGAACTGTGGGGTCCGACGTCCACTCCACTCCCATGAAACGGAGCAGACGTCGGACCCCACAGTTGTGGGGGAAGGGCCCCACTACTAGTAGTACTACTAGGCCTAGGCCTACCCCCCCGCATCAGTCTAGCCTAGGCCTAGTCTCGTAGAGTCGTCGGCAACGGGCCTGTTCATGTCATTGAAATGGCAATGCCTCTTTTTGTGCCAGACGAAGTAGAAAGTGCACATTTTACTTTAGTCTACAAATACTTCTTCACAATCTTACCTGTTAGTGTTAGCGAAGTTTTATCAGACTGCAGACTTCCTGCTATAACTTTTTTAAGAAAGAAGGCCGACCAACTCAACCGCGGGAATCACGTCCGTTGCCTTTCTTACTGATTGAGGGCGCTGTTCAAACTATGTAGCAGTAGTACCTCTTTTTAACGGTCGATATCAGTAGTATGTAAATGGACAGTTCTGGAGCAAACGCCCCTTTTTGCCCGGTTTTTGCTCAAAACCCTTGGGTACCTATACGACCCAAAAAGCCCTCGAAACCCTTTAAATGTGAAAAAATGAGAAAATGCTGGAATTGTCGTGAACCCCCAGTTTTTGATCAAAACCCTTGGGTAGTACATCGACCCAAAAATCTCGGGGATTTCCACTCACCTTTTGACCCCGGCGCCGCTCGGTAGCTCGTGACCCGGCAATCACTCGCAAACAAGTCTCGACTTGCCAGATCTGACCTCGTGACTGGCACCGACTGGCACCGACTTGCACAAAAAAGGGATTTCCCTTAACTGACCTTGGCTCTGTTCAAATCAAAACAAACCGCCTTAAATAAATGCTCTTTATATAAAAATAGTAGTAAAAAAAAAAAACATGTTGAATAAAAATGAGAAAAATTTAAGAAATCTATACATAAAAAGAGACATGAGCAATCCAAAACACAGACCAATATTATCGAACTTTGTTCGATATAAGAAGGCGTTTTTAGAAGATTTTGTCAAACGGTATAACGTACCGTTATCGCCACCTAGGCGCAAACATCATACACGATTTGAACTAATAAACGCCATCAGAGAGGATCAAAAACAATTTAGGCATCTACCGCGTCAGTCGTATCGGCAGCTGTTGAAAACGGTACAAAAATATAATATTCCTTATA